ACCTCACCACTACTTTCAATGTCAGCCCACATATCAGCTCCTCCACACTTATGGTCTGGATTGTCAGGAGGTAACTGATAACTGTATCTGCAACAGTTCTGCTAATAATATTAACGTATGCTAAAGTAGAAGAAGCTTGAGATAATGCTTTTCTTTTTTCTTCCTTTCTTTTTTTTTTTTTTTCTGTAAAAGGAAACATAGAAAAAAATAAAAATAAAACAACAAACTTACGGTTCACATATCCCACTAGTTTTATTAAGTTCTGCAAGTGGGCAGTAAGAACCTAATGGGCATGCTTCAGCCACAATAAGAAAAGGAAAAAAAAAAAAATCAGGAGCTGTTAAATCCATTAGAAACATGAGTACTAACAACAAATTAGGCTAAAATATGCAATTAACATAATTGCAAAGTCAAAACAAAAAAGGAAAATGATTACAGAATGTTATCAAGGCTTAAAGCAGATTTTATGCATAAAATGAGATCCTAGATGAAAAAGTCATCCGTTGAGACTTCTAACTTAGAATCTAAAGGTCATTCATTGAGACACTCTCCTTGGGGTCAAAGAACATTATCAAGTACCAGTGATGGTTCTGGTCATTATTGCCTGTCTATGATGCATCTAAATTCCGTGATGACTAGCATGATCTAATGATGCTCATAGAATGACATAATGAACTCGAATTCGGGAAGAACATGATGGTGATTGCAGATGCCAATGAGGGAATTATTGAGTCTCCAAATACTTACGTATCATGCAAGTAATACCACGAGGGCAGAAAAAACCCTCACAACATGGTGCACACGTCTGGGTCCTGGCAGGAATGAAGGTTGAATTTTTCATATCAATCTTCTGGTCTTTACCAACACTACATGCCCATCCTGGCTCACAACCAGAAACCCACGAGGTCAAATTACAATTCTTGTTAGGCCTCAAAAAACTGGTCCCCATTGACCCACTACTAGCCGCCGCAGTGAATATCTCAAAGTATAATTTTATCTCTGCTGCTGTGCACATACGCTGCATCATATCCCCTATTATCATCCCATACGTTAGATACATTAAAATCAAGTTAACTATAAGAACACCCATACACATATCTCCAATTCAATATACCCATTAAAAAATTATTATTTTTAATTTAAAATTAAAAAAAAAATTAAAAATTCAATGCTACACTTAGAAAATGGGTTAAACTAAATACACTTATATTATATTTTAATAACTAAATAGACTTCCCTGACATGTATGTCTAGCTAGAGGATATCCAAATAATTTTCTTAATTATAAATAAACACACCTAAAAAAAAGAAAGATATGAAGGAGATAGTTTTTTTACCTTGAGTTTTTCTGGCACAATCGGACAAAAAAGCTGTGTTTTTTGAGAAATTAAATGCGTCATTCCAATCAGCATCCCTACAAATACAAAAGAATTGCATGGTTACTGGTATTAGAGCGAATTTCATCACATTCTAATCACATAAAAACTTACACGTCGGTGATGCAGAAACCGAGATTCTTGGAAATATCATCCTTGAAAATGGAGGTGAAATTTGAGAACCGAGAGTAAAGCATATTATTTAACATCTCAACTCCAGCCGGACTGTTTTTAGCGGTACCATTTTTATCGTCTACGCCAACAATCCGCCGCGGAAAACTCAGAATGAGTATCCACACAAACAGGACTCCGCATCTGGATGCCAACTTCCTTCTGATCATTTCCAGCCTTCAACAAAAATCCTATGAATTTCTTAAAATTGTCGTTCGAACATAAGGAGAACGGAAGAAATTGGAGAGATGGAAACTGTGGGAAACAGGAAAATGGGAGAGGGAGAAGTGGGTATGAATTATGTTTCGCCATTGGAGGAGTAAAGAGTTTCTTTTCCGGAGGGAAGAAATGGCTGGGAGAAGGTGATGCCGAAACTTGGGGAAATACGTTCATTCTAATTTTGACATGGGTTTCATTGAAGTAGCTAAAATCAAATTACAGTTTCTGTTGGAGTATTGAATATAAATTCAGATTGATTTCCATACGTACTGTACACTACAGTGTGATATTACTGAGTCTTTATTTTGGGATTTTCGCTTAGACTCATTAATTAATTTTGGTAATTATAATTAATTTTATGCTTATAAATTTTTATGTCAGATTTAATTAAAATAAAATATAATGTAATATTGTAATTCAAATTTTATAGAAAAAAATAAATTTGATGTAAAAATTTATATAAAATTTAAGATGCATATTGAATAAACTTTCTTTTGTTTAAATTTAGCTACTCTAATATTACTAATTCAAATAATTGATTCAAAATAATAAATTCTTAAGTCATTGCTTAACTCGCAATTTGTTTATGTTAAAAGTTTTAAGATATGTTTGGTTGATGGGAGTGAAGAAAAATCTTTTTGACTAATATTATATAAAATCATGAATAATATCTTAAGATAAAAAGACTAATACTTAACAAAAAAAAAAAAAAAAAAAAAAAAAATTTCAAAGGTGCAGTTGATTAATAGAAAAAACACCCAATGTCAATTGTTTGCCCTGCTGTCTGCAAGAAATGACATAAATGTGATATGCAAGAACG